CCCGGTCAAGTTTTGAGTGCCTCTGGAAAGAAAATGGGAAGAAAATAAGATAACCAAAAAGCACTTTACAGCACCTTAAATATGATTAGATTTGCAAGCTGGGCTAAGCTATATTAAGATTATCTTTTTGGAGTTGGAAAACTGATTTTCAGTTGGAGGAGAACTATTGCTGGTTTTGAAGAAGAAATTAGTTTTGATCTTTTAGTGGAAAAAACAAATTTCTTGTGAAAAACAGATTGTGAAAAGACTCAGTTCTATTAGCCCCAGTGGGTAAGGGTGTAGTATTTTGATTAGAATTTTTTTTGGTGTGTGAGGAAGGAGAAGTATGGGTACTTTGTCTGGAAGGAAAACAGAAACTGGCAAGTTTGCTTGGTAGTAGATGAGAACTGATGTTTAATCTGCATACAAGGATAATGGTAGGAAGTCAAAATGTATTACAAATGAGGGAAAGAAAATACAGATGATGTGTAATTAAGAAGGTGCAAGAGACCCTGAAATTAGTTCAGTTGGTTAGAGAATGAGGCTGGTATTGCTGAGCTTGTGGGTTCAGTCCCCACACAGGCCATTCACTGAAGACTTGGGCTCAGTGATCCCTGTGGGTCCTTTCCAACTCGGAGTATTCAGTGATTCTTAAAGTTACAAGTGTCCTTGCTTCTTTGTCTGTGAAGTGTCACAAAAGTGAACCGAATGTTCTGTGAAGGTGTGGGTAGATGAGTGGCACTGTATGGCAATAGAAATGGGTGCAAATCCTTGTATGTCTTGTTAACTTTAACTGTTGCTGTACATATTTAATTATTCCAGCAGTAGTAACTGTTGGAAAGTACTGTGTAATGTCAGATTTCAGTGAGGCTGCTGTTTTGACAGTGGAGAGGTCCTTTGTGATAAGACTTTGGAAATTCTCTTTTATAATCTCAGTATAGACAATTGATCTAAGAAAAGATTCGTCATCTGGTAGTGTTTGAAGTAGGCATACATGCTATCTGCAAGTGTTTTGCTCAGTTTTGGTTTCCCATGGTTGAGGGTGTGACACTCTAGCTGTATGTGAGCATTAAAGATTTCATAATTTAACCTAAAATTTTCTCTGAACTAGTGTTAATTTCTCCAGAAAATACTGTATCTTACATGTGTGTGCACATATTCCTTACTACTTTTTCACCAATACCTTTATAGTTTCTGGGCAGGGAAATAAGCAGAAGTATATATTTCAGTCTAAAATTCTCAGTATCTAGAACTCTAACACCATCCTTTCATTTTTTAGGCCATGTGATGGAATAAAGTGTCAGCTTAATAAACCTTTTATTTATGACACCTCCATCTACTGACACAGATCATGTACAGGATTGGTTTTGCAATTACAGTTTGTGATGTCTCATTTTCTCTTTTATTTTAAAGTTTTGTTTTATCTGTGTAATGGATGAGACCCTTTTGAAGTCATAATTAAAATATTGGATCACAGTACTTATTCACTGGGTGAATTGCTACATAATATTTTTTGTTACTGAAACAATGACATACTCATAAGTACGGTGCTGTAAGTGTAATGTTTACTTTAAAATATTATACAATTCTGTTCTTTTATGAGAGGGAGTCTTTAATAGGCTATCATTGCATATGTACAGAACATTAGTAATTCTGTATTTTAAATTATGATGTGCTTCTATTTCATAGAATATTGGAGTCACTTCTAGGTAATTATTAGAAATTCATATACCTTCCAAATGTGATAGAGCATTTTAAATGTGTATGGCTAATGCTACTGTTTCTGCTAGTTTCAAAACATTTGAAAAGTACTCTTGGTGTTCAGCAAGTAGATCATCAAAATGCTACTGTTGGACTAGTTCACACAAAGTCTGGCTTTAGCAAATCTCATTATATGATTACGGCCATACTTAAAGCGTTAAATTGTGTGTACAAGTAATGAACGAAATGGCAGGTCAGCTGTGGATTACACAGACTATGTAGGAGTGTCAGGTTGATAATTTGTGTGTCTTTTCATTTTTGTCCTTGTAACCTGAAAATCCTGGTTGACTTAGGAACGTCATGTTTACTGTCAAGGCTACTATGATAACTAAACCATTTATATAGAACAGATGCATGATATCTAGACTTGATAACAGCAACATATCATCTGACATATGCAATGGTGTGTTTCTTTCACACAAAAAACAGAAGATGAAAACAGCCCTTTATGTAATTTTTAGCTCGTTCATAGTGCTGAAACTTCTGAAATTGGTAATTTAAACTTCATCACAGGCAGAAATGAAGTATTTTGCATTGCAGAAGTAAGAAAAAATTGTCAGTTTTTGTGGCAATACTACCTCTAATGATTACATGAACATGACTTTTCTAAAACCTTTTTCTAGATATATTTCCTTGTATATTCTAGGGTTTATATAAGTTTTTAACTTGTTTCCCCATTAGAAGACATTCTTTGAGTGTTGCCTGTTTGCAGATTATTGATAATTTCTATTTGCAATGGATTATTTAAAATTATCGACTTGAGAGCCGTTACACAAGAAGACATGGAAGATTATCAACTCTGAAAGCAACTTGTATGCCCTTGAGTGATAAAGAAATGAAATACTGGGGAGAGCTGGCTCTTTTGTCTTCTACCAAAAGGAAAAAAGCCCAAACCTCTCAAAGGGGCAGAACCAGTTCCTTTGAGGAGTCCAGCTGCTAGGAAAGGAAGGAGGAAATAGGAAATGGAGAATGCCCTGAATAAATAAAGGAAAAGGAACTTAAAGTCAGGAGCTTTTACAAAATACAGAATAGATCAGGGATATAGAGTAAAGTGGCAAGAAGAAGAATGGGATTCTTTTTCTCCTCCTCTTTTTCCTTCTGCCTTTTTCAGGGCAGGGAGAGGATTATAATGTATAAAAGAGAAGGGAGGAGCAAAACCAGAAAAAAAAAATTGAAGGGAATTTAGCTACTAGCATAATTATAGTTCTGCTGGGCTAAACGCTCAGCTTGAGAAGTATTTAGAGGTTTTGCAGGATGAGTACAAGCAATATATTTGCATTTGTGTGGTAAGGGGAAAAATATTTAACCACTTGCCCAAGTCAAGCTACTGCATTGAAAAAGCTTGTGAAGGGCCAGTAAGGTGGCCCTCAGTAGCTGAACAAAGGCAGTACAGGAGGGACTGATTAGAGAGCAACTGTAGCTCTAGGAAGGCAATTGGACTGAATATGGGACTGTTTTGAATTTGTAAAAGGATTAAGATGTAATGATATTTAACCTGCTTTGGTCACAATGAAAAACACCCTTGTTTCAATAATGTGTCCATTCACCAGAATGTGAGTTCTGATGTGTGAAGTCTTTGGCTGCCTAGCTGGTACCTCCTGTATTACTGAATTGGCAAAAGTTTCCTACCCAATCTGTCAGTCACAAACACACAGAAGCAGAGTGAAAAGGAAGACAGCCATACAAGTATTTCTGTGTTTGTTTGGTTATAGAGTAGAATTGCTAATAGGGTGAGGTGGACAGCATTAATAGGAAGGTGTTTGGCAAGGCTGAGATGAGAAGGTATGTGGAAGCTTGCTGTCACTCTTACCAGCACCTCCTACAAATAGGATGATCGACGCCCTTTACCAGAAAACACTGAGGTGAGAGGGGGGTTAAAAGTTTGGAGTACTGACACTTTCTTCTGTGTTTAAGGCCTAGCAGGCACATTCTTGAAGGGCTCCATGAGATGGGGTTTTCAGTGCTGCAGTGATCCTCTTTTGACTGAGTTAAAGGACAACTGAATTAACTGGAGTTGTGTACCATAGGTGAAGAATGCCAGTAGGCTTTTATTTGTTGTGTTTTATTTCTAGTCCTTCTGCTGCAGTGAGAAGGGGTGGTGGGAATTAAACTGACAACATCATTACGCCTAGTTACTCAGTATTGTTACAGTACTTGAAGTAATTTGAAGAAATACTGTTCCAGAGGTACAACATATAGGTGGCTTTCATCAAAGCAAGGAGTTTTGATTGCATTCGCTATAAAATAAGGTCCCTAAATTACTAAGAATGAAAGACTAGTCATAACTGGAAACATGCTTACAGCCATTGAAGTGGGTTTGAAGGAAATGTTTTGAAGTGCTTTTAAAGAGGATCTGCATCTGGTGCACTTTTTTTTTTTTCTGTTTCTCTGTATTTAAAAATAACCAGACACGTACATGCAAAAGATTCAGTATTATCACTAGAAACCTGGTTTCTGATCTTTTGGGATTCAAGTTGAAATTTACATTAGATTAATATGCATAAAGCAAGTCAACAACCAAGCATGTTTGCCTCCATAATCGTACTGAGCTGCAAATTTTAATTTGAGGGGTTTTTTTTGTTTGTTTTTTTGGGGGTTTTTTGTTTTGTTTTGGTTTGGTTTTTTTTTTTTTTGGTATGAGGATTCAAGTTCTGCTTCCCTTCTTGGGATCTCATTCAAAGCCTTGTGAAATCAGCAAAATTTATTTGAATTCATTTGAAGTAAGCCATTTTCATTTTGAGGTATGTGGACATGATACAAATTTGAGTAATATGTGGCTCAAGTATTTGCTTAATAAAGCAGGTTTTATGTATATTATCTTTTTATTTAGATTGATTTCTGAGTTATTGCTGAGGTAAGTAGGCTACTAAAAGGTAATTGTTCTAGATAAAATATCAGATGGAGCATTTTGGAGGCTGCCACCATTTAGCACCCACTGGATTTGTTACTTTGACAATATTTCTGTGTAGCAGGTCCTGTTTATTGTTAAAATCTTGAAGTTCTTAATCTAAATTTAACAAACTTCTATGTCCCAAAACACTCTTGCAATGTAAGCTAAATGTTGAGAAGAGGTATGGGAAAACTCCAGTGTCCATTTCCTCTTGAAACTTCTAAAGGTAACGGAGGACTAGGGGCTGGGGGATAGGCAGTGGACAGCATGAAAGAGGTTATAGTCCTTGCTTGTATTAATTGGCAGACTGGGTTGCAGAGACATACTTTATAGTAGTTGCAAGGGAAGAAAAACCTTTAATCTCCAGACATTTTGCAATTAGTAACATCTCTTCCGATAATAAAATGGTTTGTCTGAATTTTTTTTTTTTCTAACTGACATTACTTGCTGGTTGATGTAATCATCCCACAAGGCATCTTAGTTTAAAAGAAAAGCAAAAAGCAACCGAGTCCTTTTCTATCTTTATGTAGAACCCAGAAAAAACCTATTCATTTCCAGGAATCAGTCTGCATCTGTCTGTAGGTTTTTTTCCCCATTTACAGATTGAGTTCGTTGGTCATTGATGTTACTTGGAGTAAAATATTGCTGTCTTTCATGTCGTCTAGCAAAGTCTATTGTAGAGTATTGTGAAACATCCTTCAGGTTTGAGGAAAGGGGTTTCTCTCATTTTAAAGTTTGGTCTGCACTGCTTGGAAAAAAAAAAAAAATCATGTTAGTGCAAAGAAACTTTAAATTGAACCAGCTACTTTGTGTTTGTTTTTGTTGCATAGCAAAGTTCCTATATAAAAATAAAATTTTGAATTACTGTTCCTTCTTTCATATGCAGATCTTGCATTGTTTTGCTGACTTTTGCAAGTTAGAAGCTCTTCCAGCAAGTTTAGTGATTGTATCAAATATGCACAACTTTAACAGACAACAAATGTTTATGAATGATAGCTTTATTCTTTGATGTAGTCCTGAATTTTTGCAATTGTTAAGTATTTTTACATTTGTCATTTGTTGTCTAGATAGTCTTCAAACTAGAATAATCCTAAATAAATGCAGAAACTATAAAACCGTACTTCTGTTTTGGATTTCAGCCAGGTCTCCACCCACAAAGATTAAGCCCTTTATATATTTGAAGTATATACATAAAATTGAATGTGCCTGATGTTTATTGTATGTGTGTATGTATAAAGAACACATAATCTGCTCCATATATATAGGTAGTGCTTATAAGATGTGTTTTCTGCTCAAATACATTGAAAATTTATATTAAATTCAGATAGCAGGAGTTACTGTGATTACTACTCAGGGCATGCTTAATTATTTCCCAAGTGTAGCCTGCATTTTTCTTGAGTATCTAACTTAACACTGATATTAAAATGCGTGTCTTTTAAAAGAAAGTTCTACTTGAAAGGCTTCTATCTAATTTTGTCTGATTGTGATTCCAGTTCAAAGCTTCTTAGTACTAGATCATTCCAACATTGGCATGCTGGAAAAAGATCAGTGAAGTACTGCCAAAGATAAATACAGCTGGAGTACATAATGTACTGTGTGCTGAGGGAATTGTGTATTTTCGTTTGGAGAAGTCTAAGGAGACATCGATTTGTTGTCTTCAGCTACCTGATGGGAGGCTATAAAAAATATGGAGTTGGACTTTTTCTTGAAGGCACAGGGTGTTTGGATGAGAGAAAACAAACACAAGGAGCATGGGAAATTTTTGTTAGGTATTAAGGAAATATTTTTCAGCAGGAGGGCAGTCTGAACACTGGAAAAAATTGTTCAGAAAAGTTGTGAAATATCCACCTCTGAACATGGTATAAATTTTGCTATATAGGCTTTAAGCCTGGTATAATTTGACTCTACTTTGAGCAGGGATAACAAGCCAAATGACCACCATAAGTGCCTTCCAACTATATTAATCTATTATTATTACTAGTAGTAGTAGTAGTAGTGTTATTATTTTTCACTTTCTCATGTAATAATTGTGACTTTCAGTTTTGTTGCTGTATGAAAACGGTGTATTGTTTCACACCAAAGAAAATATTTGCTTAAATTGCACCTGTGTATGAATAATCATAACACTAGGGTAAATAGTATTGCTTGGTTTTGATTCCCTTTTGATTATTACTTTGATATTCTAAATAGTGTGTCTAACAAACTTTCTAAAGTGTGGGTTTCTTCTTGTTTCTGAAGGCGGAATGCAATGGGATATTAAGTCTAAATCCCTGCAAATGTCTACTGAACCTGTATGGAAATTAGCGGTTAAATTAAATGCCTCACTAAGTAGAAAGTATGCTCATGTCTTTTTTTCTGTATAAAACCTTTTATTTTCAGATTTTCCTTGAGTATCTTCCTAAGAAAATAGAAGTTTCCAGCTACAAACCATCTTTTTCTTAACTCTGCTGGTTTTTCTGCAGATTTAGAGAAACTTCGGTTTCCTGTGGTGCATTTTCAAGTAGGATACATTTTCCAGTCAGCGTATGGCAGTTGGAGTGGTGTGTTCCCATACATGTCTCTGCATCTGTGCTAGCAATCCTGTGCTTTTGGAGTGAAAAAAAATTCAGAAAACTTCAGTAAATGCTGAAAACTTTTGAATAGTACTAACTGAAACTGGTTTACTGAATGTTGTCCCAGTACAAAGACAACTCCTAAGCAAGTAGGGAGCAATTAGGAATACGAGATGAAAGGGTGAATAAGACTTTAGCTTTCCAGAATTTCACAGATTTAAGCTAATGTGAAACCACTGTAGTCACAAACTAGACTGCACTAATTATATAATAAATACATAATTATACATAATAATACATAATCTTAGATTTTGGTGATGTTAGAATAGCAGTGTGGCTTGTTTTGTAGACATTCATAGTTAGTTGTGCTGCTTGTTAAGCTCTGAACATAACCCTCTTACAGGTAAATTTTCCAGCAAATGCCCTTGGTTCACTGAACTTTTATTTCTTTGGCATGTTTATACAGTAGGTATCTTTCACAGTTTCTCTGGTTTTTAGTGGGGTTTAAATAGTTAAATATATCTGTTTATGTACTGAAAAATAGCATGTAGAAGAGTTAATTGGAAAGTTGAGAATTGAAGTGAGGTTTCTTGGGACTTCATAAACTACGTGTTGATCCCTCATGTATTCAAAAGATTTCGTTTGAATTTGCAGTAATGTTAATACTTGCCTCCTCTGCCTCCACAGTTTTGCCAGCAGCTCAAGTAGTAGTCTAAATTGTGTTGATTTCAGTAGTCCAAATTGTGTTGATGTTTTTTGAAGTGCCACTTTCATATAAGAACTTTCCATAATTGCGTTCTTCTCATGTGTTGCCAGGAGGCCTACCACTTTTGTATGAGAATTGAGCTAATGTGTTTGTCTGGGTTCAGTTCTCTTGTGGTCTGTCAGTTTGTGTGTGTACCAGTCTGCATACCTTATATCTTACATTGTTAATTAAATGCTGCCCCTACTGCTCTTCCAGAAGGTCTGTGTTGTCTGGTGCCCCATTTGGGGGGCAGGCTTTCCAGTTCATGCAGCTCTCTCTGCTGGTCAGCCTGTATAATCAGTTATGCCTCAATAAAAGCACTGCCAGGATTTTTCCTTTAGTGTATGCCTGTCTTTTCCTACTTAAGGGTCAGGAGGCTTCATTGGAGAAGGTCATTTGCCTTCCTCCTCAAATTCTTTAAAGATCTCTAGATAATTAACTTAGGTAGTTCTGCCTCACCCCATGATGTATTCCAGTGTGAGTCATTGTCCTTGCCAAACGGATCTGCAGTCCTGCCTAATTTTGCTGCTGTAATCTGTGTCTTACCTGGCAGCAAAATGGCCTGCATTCTTTCTTTTCCTTTCTTGCCCTGTTTACCCAGTTATTTTAGTATGGAATTGTTATTTTATTATGACTTGTCCATCCTAGGTCATGCAAAGACTGCTCATGTATGTATTTTTCTTGTCTGAAAATACCTGTCAGATGTGCTACTCTGAGTTTGCTTTTTACCTTGCAAGTTGACTTCCTGAGTGACTGATCATGATTATCTGTCTTTTAAGTCAGTAAGTTACTCTAATTCCCTTCCCCTTTTGGGTCACAGAAGAAGAGTGTTAGTCAGTAGGATGGGAGAAAGAAGTAAACTGTAGAAAATGACAAGAAAAGATGGAGAAAGGAAACAGAAGAAATTACATGGAAATGAGGATTGGGTGTTCTTAAGGTTAATCATTCGGGGAGAAAAAAGTCAGACTTTTAAACTTAATTCTAGGACCTTACTATCATCTGGTCTGATGATTTTCATGTGTGAAGGGACAAGCACTTGTATAATTTTTCATAGAGTCATAGAATTGCTAAGACTGGAAAAGATCTCTGAGATTGAGGCCAACAATTAACTTAGGACACTATGTTCACCACGAAATTATATCCCTATGTGCCACATCCATATGCCTTTTGAACACTTTCAGGGATGGTGATTCCACCACCTCCATGGGCAGCCTGTTACAATGCCTGACTTCCCTTTCAGTGAAGAAATTTTTCCCAATATCCAAACTAAATCTCCTCATGTGCAGTTTAAGGCCATTTCTTATTGTTCTGTCACTTATTACCTGGAAGAAGATACTAAACCCCAAATCACTATGGCCTTCTTTCAGGTAGTTGTAGAGAGGAAGGTGGTTGTTTTCAGGTAAATATCACAAAGTTGTTTTTTTTAAATTCGTCTTGGTTTAAAATATTTGTGAATCTTGGATCACTAGGAAACTACCCTGGGAAAGTACTGTTGTGGGCTTGTTCTGCTCCTAGCTCTTTTCTGGGCACTTTGCTTTTTACTGGCCACTAGAACTAGATGTACCTTTGGTCTCATCCTGAATGCCTGTTCTGAAACAAGTGAACCAAAAAATGGCCTGGAAAACATGTACTGAGAGAGGTTTAACTCTCAAAATCAAGTTGCCTGTTGTAGTTTAGGTAGAGAAAAAATACAAATAGCAGAATTGTTTTGTAGGCAGATGAAAATTAGTCTCAAAATTAGTCAAACAATGACAGTAGCTGAGAAAAGACACAGGCTCAAAGAGTGTTTAAAGTTATAAGGTTCATAGTGGGTTGTCTGGCCCAACCTCTCTGCTCAAGCAGGGCCATCGCGGAGCACGTGGCATAGGATTGTGTCCAGACAGTTCCTGGATATCTCCGCTAAGGAAGACCCCACAGCCTTTCTGGACAATCTGTTCCAGTGCAGTCACCTGCACAGTAAAGAAATTCATCCTTATATCCAGGTAGAACTTCTGTTGCTGTTATTGTTCATTTTGTTATCTCATTGCTGTATCCAGTAACTTGTTCGTATCTCAACCTGTGGTTGTCACCTTTTGCGTCTCCAGTTCTCAACTCCATCCTGCCAGAGTGGGAAGGGAAGATCAAGCAAGTGGTGTTGGTTTGGGAGAGTACCGGTGGGGGCACTGAACTGAGGAGTGCCATTCCTTAACCACAACAGATGTTTAGAAAAGAAAAAAGGTGACTAAGTACATCTACTTAGCTTTGCATGCATTAAGTCAAAGCCACTCCAAAGTGGCTTTTTTTGGCTTTTTTTCATAAATAAGTAAAAGAACCTTATTTGCTGTTGCTAAATTCTCTAGAGATATTTCAAATTTCAAATTTACAGGTGTCACAATTTATTAGTTAGCAGTTTGAGGAAAAGAAGGAAGGAATGCTTCATATAGCTGAAAGAAACAGAAGGGGTGGACTAAGAAAGAAATGTTTCCTAACTAGTGAGTGTGAAGAATTAAGCTTTTTTTTCACTGCTTTGTAGTTACAGCGGGATGTAGGTGGTCCAGAAACACTTTCTGGTAGCTTTCATTGTGGAAGTAATAGTAGCAGCTCAGAACACTAGGATCAGGAGATGTGAAAGACCAGGGAATGGCGGAGAAAGCACGTAGTTAGGAATTCAGGTTTTGAATCAAGAAAGTTCCCTGTTCTGAGTGTTCAACAAACAAGGAGGAAAGGAATGCAGTTAGGCAAAAGCTGTAGTGCAAAATGCATGCAACAAGATTCCTTTTTGATGTTGTGTCTGTCCAAAAGATATGAACATATTTATTAGCTTTGTTGCCAAGTTGAAATTTTCACATACTTGAAAATCATATGACCATAAGCACTAATTAATGTTTCTCATACTGTCTATGCTAGTAAAGAATATCAGTCTGTAGCAGTTTTGTTGAAAGCTGTTGTATTGTGGTATGTCTTAAGTGGGCACTGGGCTTCAAGCCACCACTGCAAGCAAAATCCAAGGAAGTATCAAGTAGTAGTAAGAAGGAACTTGGTAGGCTTTATTCTGTCAGTTTCTTTTCTTGTTCAGTAGACAGCTGAATCTGGGCAGTAGTCGATAAGAAATTTATGTCACATACTAGTGCTAAAGGGAAATTAAATTTTTCAAACTCATCACATTGGTAGTCTAGGGAAATTTAATAATCACAAAACCATTTGTGATAAACTGTTTCTTGCTGTGATACTGATCACAAAGCAAATACTTCACCAATTGTAGAACTGCATACTATTAACAAGGAGAACTTCTGCAATACAGGCAAGTACTTGAAGTAGAAAAACAGTTATCTTTAATTTGAATTATTTTGAAAAACTGAAAGAGAACTATCTTAAAGGCAGACCTGTCTCTAATTTCCCATAAATTCATCATATATGTTATGATAATTGTATGTAAAAGAGCTGAGGGAAGGAGATGTACAAATGTGTTTAATTAATTTTGATGGCTGAATAGATAAAACATGCACTGACATTCCACATGCACATTGTGGGAGAGCTTGTTGTGTGTTTGATGTAATACAGCCCTTTTCAAACATAAATGAACCGGATTTCTGAGAAATCACGCTGTAGAAAGACCAATATTAACTTAGCATTGACAGGTGAGAATCAGTTAATTGTGTTGCCCTTGCTTTTAGTGCTTCTGAACATCTAGGTTTGTTTCTCTGCAGTCTGTGCTTTGACCTTTTCAACTTCTCTATGGCTGTACAGCCTTAAGACTCATTTTACAAAAGCAAGGTATGTGGGGTGAAAGCTGTGACAAGACACAAGGAAATGACAAACTGCTTCAGAAGCTGTTGGGAGCTGTCGTTTAAGACCAGCAGTGCTTCATTAGGGCATTGAAACTCATAGTAGTGATTTTTTTTTTTTGACTGGAGAAGAGTTGGCTGGCATGGATGTATTTTATAAACCAATGTTATAAAAGCTGGCACAAGTTGCTGAAGCCTCTTCACCCCCCTGTTAGGCTGGGTGTTTTAAAAGCTCTGTAGAAAAACTATGTACTTTCCTTCCAGGATGAAGCAAAACTGGTTTATCTGAGCAAGATGTTTGCACAGTCTGCCCAAGAAAAATCTGAACAGGTATGAAATCCATACCTGTGAGTTTGTGGACTATGCAGAACTATTCGTTCAATTTGATTTTGTATGTACTTGGAAGAAAGCCAGATGTTTATAGTTATTTATTTCATTCATTGTATGTTCCAGGTGGTAAGGAAATAACATAGCTACTTTGTTCTCTCTCCATTCTTTTTGAGAGTGGCAGATCAGAGGGTACA